CCCCCAGTCAAATTGCATGGATGAATAATAAGAACTGGATACAGCGTCGGAGGCGGGGGTCTCGTTCTTTCCTATGAGAGCTGCTCATTGGCGCATGAAGACAAAATGGCCCAACTTTTGAGAGAGCGAAACGTCACGGATTACCCGTCATGCCTGGCTGTCAGAGCAGAAGAAGACGTATGTGCGCTCACAGAGCATGCGCCCCTTAAGCCCCCCAAGCACCCACTCTCGGCTCACTAGAATGAATGGAGACAGAAAATAAATCTAGATTCGGCTTTTAGTGCATTTTACAACTTTAAGGACCTAATGATTCTAATGAGGGCTATAAAATAGTTCCTACTGGGTAGTTTATTTAGTTTAAAAAAAAGTATCCACTGATTTTCAGACGTCTCTTTCCCAATGTTAGTCAATGGGAAAAAGTATTTCTGGGCCCAGTGACGTCACGGACTGATACGAAAATTGTAGTACCGCCGTTTGGACACAACGAATATTTTCCTCAGAGTCCAGCGCACTTCCTGGGGGCTTGGCTAAATGAAAAATCTCGAGATCTTTTTTTCTTCTCCATGTCCCCTAGGGGGCTCCGTAGATTATACTGTATTTCTCTTGCAAAGGTTTTTTAATTGGACAAGATTTAAAATGTGTTTTGAAACTGTGTTTTTTTTACATTTATGTGTTGCAAACAAAGTCAAAGCAAAAAGCCACATGAAACATTTTGCACTGTGCCTCAATGAATTATTCAAAAACAAGCGGATTGAAACAATAAGTTAATAAAAAATGTGATTAATTGTTACGTAATTAGATTTTCTGTTTTGGAATCTCCATGTGTAGGATAGAAACTAACTCATAAATTACTCAAGAATAACAACTATCGAGAATGAAAGTAATGATGGGTAAATTGTTGTTTTTTCTTTTCAGATGCAAGAGAGTTTCTCCCGCAGTAGCGTTTCCTGTCTGATTAACGCAAATCTGCGCTCAGAGGCCGAAGATTCAGCCGAGGACAAGAAGAGCGACCCCTGCTGGCAAGTGTTGCAACAGCTCCACTACCGCATAGAGAAGGTTTTTGATTTATTTATGTTTTATCTAACTTCAATTTGTCTTCCCTGATAACAAGATGTGTTAGAAAGTTATTTTTAGCATATTTAGTTAAACCAGATGCAACGTTTTTCCAGGGCTGTCCACACAGCACGTTCTGTCCAAGATGTTACAGCATTTTAAGAAAGATTGACTAATCACTTGACCTTTAACTTGAATAATGATGCAACTCCACATTAGAAATCACCCTAAGGGGAATATCGCTATTACTGATGACTATTTGTTGATCCATAGGGGGAACAGGATGATTCATGGGGGTGACGAGGTCCCCGGTGTTGCCAATTAAGATCTAAAGATAGCTAACATCCATAACTGAAGAGGTCAAGATAATAATAATAATAGCTTGGATTTATATAGCGCCTTTCATGAGACCCAAGATGCTTGTAACCTGCCGCCTACTCACCCTCTCTTTCCCCCCGTCTCGTTCCTTTCTGTCTCTGGGTGTTTTTCTTTCAGACGATGGCTGACAGATTCCAGAAGGAGATATCTACAGCCATGACAAGTGAGAACAATGCCTCCATTGACTATCAGTTGCTACTAATAGAAGTAAACAATTTTTTCCCCCACAAAAAAAACGTTTTGTATGTGTTTCTTATCTACTTTTGGTTTCACAGATAAGCTAACAGGAGTGTTGCCATTCCTGAGCTCGGGGGTCCCTCTTCCTAAAGTTGCGGCCCATGTGACGGGTGTCCTCTCGTCCTCAGAGCCTTCAACAGCAGATGGTGAGGACTTTAAAAGTAGTGCAGGAATGATATCCAGAGTGTATACTAAGTAAGAGTCCTGGAAAGCATAACGGACAACTTAAACATATTGAATTTCACGACAGAATTTCACAATGTTCAAACAGCAGTAAGTGCTGTGTTGCTTCCCTGATATATTTCCAGGGCCAGAGGTGAGGAATGTGCTTCAAGGCTTCCCAGGATTCAGTAACGTCTTCACACCTAAATGTTTGTCAGGACATGCAGATGTGCAGCTGCCTTATCTTTTTCAAAAATGTTCTTTAGTTGTCTCCGTGATTGTCAATTGCTCAGATTGTCAACAATTAACGTTTATTGGAAACATGCACCTCTAATAATATGTGGGAAATGATATAACTTAAGTCCCTAAATACAAGCAAATTAGCACTTCTTATTAGAGATTTACATCAGCAGAGGTTAGTTAGTTTGGTTTCACTTGGTTTCAAAGCATTTTTCAAATCGTGTTGAGCTTGTATGCTTTTGTTTACTGGATTTGAGGACAATACAAAAAAAACAACATCCTAAATAAATATCTGAATGTCATAAAACTAGAACGTTGGCCCACATTCTCTCGTTAAACACACACACACACACTCCTCAGGGTGGTTGGATTTAATCTCTTTCTGCCTTTTTGTTTTTTAAACATGTGGCTGTCGTCAATTAATTTAAAAAAGCCGGTGGTCTTTGAGCACATCTGTGAGCATTATTTACACACTGAGAATTTCTTTTAACATTTGTTTCTTATTTGAAAATAATTGACTGCTCGTAATCCATAAGACTCCGGTATTATCTAATTATCTTGCATCATAGTGAATGGCCTTAATTGATGTGTGTGTTTTCTTGTGGTTATCAGAATCAGTAGGTTGACACGTACGAGGAATTTGACTTGATGTCATGGTGCATACATAAAAGTAAAACAAAAATGTAAAACACAGATAGAGAACTATTTAAAGAAAACTATAATAACATAATATGTCATATGTGCTGCTGCAGGCCCACGGAGCAGCAGAGGGTACCTGGGAGAGCGAATCAGAGCGTGGGAGGGACGGAGAGGTCTGTCCTTCCTGCAGAACATGGAGCTGAGGGGGGGGGAGCTGCTGGTGCCCATAGCCGGCCTCTACTACATCTACGGACAGACATACTTCAGACTGCCCTCCACAGGGGAGGCAGAGGGGGAGGCCAAGGAGGAGGGAGCACAGCTTGTCCAGTACATCTACAAGAAGGTACGTCTCTGCTGAATAATCGATTGGCATGAAGAACAACTACAGATCCTGTTGGGCTACAAGTGTCAGCTAAAGATAACATCAGCAGCACAGAGCACAACAAAATGGCCCCTGACAACAAATTAGATTTATATATGGATCTAATGTCCCACTGTAAAAGTGAAACAACTTTTCACATCTAGTTAAGTTGCATCCAAAGCTACTTGCATACACATCACTGCCGTTGACTTCATGCATAAGGGAACAATTTGGGGTTTATTAGCTTGCACAAGGACACTTCCACATGTTAACTGCAGGGGCTGGGGATTAAACCTCTGGCCCTCTGATTGGTCGATGCCTATTTCACTCTGAGCCACATCCACTCCTGTCTATTTAACGTGGTGCATGGTTTTGTTATGAGTCATTATAGATAGATAGGTAGGTAGATAGATAGATGTACTTTATTGATCCCAATTTGGAAATTATTTAGTTCTAGAATCAGTGTGTTCAACATTAAAATACAAATACTTAAAAAGTGAAATAGAGAATTAACTAAATCAAACATCAAATGTCTCGGGTGTATTTGAATTCACCATTGAATCTGGTATCAAAAATATATCATGCAATCATCAATACAACCATACGATGTGTACAAGGTTATGTTAGTGTACTTGTTAGGAGAAATGTGATCTTGATTTAGTATTTTACCCACAGATGAGTTCCTACACGGTGCCCATCCTGCTGATGAAGTCGTCCCGGAGCGCCTGCTGGCCTCGGGGTCCGGAGCCCGGTCTCTTCTCGCTGCATCAGGCCGGTACCGCCTTCCTTCAGCCCGCTGACCGCCTCTTCATCACCGTTAGCAACACCAGCGCCATGGAGATGGACGGGAGAGCGAGCTACTTTGGGGCCTTCATTGTGGGATAAAGGGGGGGAAAAACTCCCGGATCGAAGTGTCCGGGACTGGGATGACTTGATTTAGAAATCATCATCATCAGAAGGAGACCCAATGGGTGTGCTTTATGATACGAGCAGCTGCCGAGGGTTCAGGATTTGAGAAGGAAGGACTCTGAGGAGTGCAAAGCATGTCTTCTGGACCAAGGATATGACCAGACGGAGCTCCAGTGGCCCAAAATGGCAAAGAATTAGAGCCATTGCTGTATTTTCACTCCTGCAGAGCCAGAGCTGGTAAATAATTCTGTTTTCCGGGATGTACCGTCTGACAGAGCAAACATGGATTATGCAGTGCTTCCGGAGTACAGGGGATTTGGAGGACAATAGAGGCAGTCAAAGCTGGGCTCCAATGTGAGAAGGACTTATTTTGAGGACTGAGAAAGCTAATTCGCCTGCAGGTCAAACGGTCAAGTTGTCATCCTCACTTAAGAATTTACACTTAAGCTTCAAACATGCCAAAGAAGATTTTCAGTGACGCTTCCTTTTTGATTACACTACTTTTTGTTTAATGTTAACGCAGATCGTGATGTCCTGCGGCCTTAAAGAGAAGCACTGATCTAATATCAATGGACTGAGTTTTTTCTTACGCATTGACACTTTGTATCCAAGGGATACCAATATATTTTTGAATGCTGGATACATGATTGCTATAAAGATTACAATTTAAAGCTTTTTCCAGGTGTTTTTGACTAATTTGAAGATTTTTGTTGTATGTGATATAGTACATGGGATTTTTATAGCGCTTTTCCTAACGCTCAAAGACGCTTATATATGTTATGGTTATAGAGGTGAGGAAAAGATCAACTTTAGGGATGATCATATAATGTATAGTATTGAAGACGGTCATATTTATCAGGCTAATAGAAATTGGAGAGATGTTGCATTGGCAGGATTAATGTGACTCTCCAATACTGTAAATTGTTTCAAGAGTGTTTTCTTGACACCATTATTTGTAGCTCTGAACAACAAATCCCCATAAATGTCCCTGCTGCACAAAAAAGCCAAAATACTGAAAAAGTAAAAAACTATCATTTAATTCATGTTGTATTACATGTTTCCATATTATGGCAGTGAATGTTTCAGCAAGAATAAGAGTCACTCCTCAAACAAGAGTTTTTACATTAAAAAAAACAATACCAAAAACTAATCAGGGTTCAAGTAATGCCCAAAAGAAATACATTTTGAAACATACACACGCGCAGGAAGATAGATCAGATTTCTGACCGTACTGTCATCCTCCTGCTACTTCCTGGTCTATGAGTTGAGGACCACGGTGTAAGTTTGGTCAGCCTGAGTCCTCCCGCTCTCTCCTTCAGTCTCTTTTTGGTTGCCGTGACTGGACTGACAAACATGTTGTAGTTACAGCTGAGACAGTAAACACAAACACAGACAAAACACAGCCTCGAGTTATAGGAGGGCTTCAAGGTGCTTCAACCAAAACACAAAAAAGACAAGTGTTACCAAATCTCTAATACTTGGTATCAAAAATAGCTTCTGAGTTGGTCACTAATCAGTCAGGACACTACAACTGGGGGTGGGTTTATGCACACGCAGAGGATACTTTGTCTTGTTAATGACAATCTATGGCTTCAGTTTATCTAAACACACACGCACGTCATATCCATAATGGTGTAATATGTTTAGAAGATAGCCAGGTATAGTCTATATTAATGGCAATACTGTAAACAACTGCATGTGTGCACCAGAGCTGGGAGGCTCCTTGTTGATGCTCCTATTGCTATGGTTACCAAGAATGGTTTCAGTTTTATTTTGGCCGATCAATCAGACTAAGTGCTTTCAACCCACCAGCCGCCTCCGCACTGACATTACAGTAAATCTCAGCAGGCGCATACACACTCACACACACACTCTCACAGAAACCGTGGAGCCAGCCAAGTGCTTTGACATTATCTCGCTGCGTGTACAATGCCTGCATCAGTCAAGTTCATTAAGACAAATTCGTTATCGGCCGACAGTACTTGGATTGAGTGAGTTAATGAGATAGAAAAGGCATAGAGACTTGTGTGGGACATAACTTCTCCATAGATTAGTCACAAGATTCATTCACCATTACGCTGTGAACACACAGGGGTTAAGGATTAGTAAGGGCCATCCTGATACCAGTAATGCATTTCTTTAACATACATGGAGTAACACTCACACGTGAGAAAGCACTGAACAGGTGACTGAGATGATGCAGGTATCATCACAGCGGCGCACACACTAACAAACACAAAACCTGGTATTATGGGTTCCTATTGCCTCTTACAGTATGTCTGTGGTTTATGAACAAAAAGCACCTCTGGAGTACAGGACAGCCTGGGAACCGAGTATAGGTGATTAACTACAGACAGGCAACAATACACACCGGCACACAGGCACAATACAGGAGGCTTTGGCACACCCATGCTAGTCTTACTACTTTCCAACACAGAAGAAGAGCAGGTTACAGAACAGGACAGACCCATAGCTGCCTTAGATTGAGGAAGGGGAGGGGAGGGGGGGGGGGGGGGGTCACAGAAACAATGATCAGCCATCACATTCAATCAGCATCGAGCCATCTATTTTTGGAGTCCCAGCCTCTCATCCAATCAGCAGCTCCAGGCTGTCCTCATAGGTGGGCTCTTGTGGGGGGCTGGGGGACAGGAAGGCCGTGGTAACAGGGGTCCCTGTTGCCGTGGCGACATTGAGGAGGGTGTTAGTGCGGATGCTGGTGGTCGCCGGGTTTCGGAGTGCCGCTGCAGCCGTGATGCTGGTGAGGTTGATGCCCAGCGTGAGCCGCGTCTGCTCCAAGGCTTTCTCCGGCACGGCGAAGGCCTCCAGCTTCTTCTCCCCGTTGGCCATGTAGGAGTTCTGGCAACCTCGACAGATACAATCTAAGCATGCCTGAGAAAGGTGATAAAAAAAAGTGTTTGGTCTATTTCCATCCCCACCAGTGTCTGATAGGCTGCCAAATGACTGATCGAAAGCCACGTAACTTTGAGGAGGTAGTCAGGTTTAAAGAAGAACAGCAGTTGTGCGTATGATAAATGAGCAAAAGACACATTTTCTCAAAATGTGTTTTTCAGTCGAGCAATAATCCTATATTTGTAAAACAAACGGTGACATTATAAAGACTGGTTTTCAGGTGACATTTTCTACTTATATAAAACAAATATTATAGTTTTATAAAATTAAAGCTTACACAAATCTACACCCAATAAGGTAATGATGCCATTAGTGTTAAAAATAGGCCCAGATGACTCTTACCTTGCGGTTTGAGTAGCATGGACAACGTTGCCCCCTGCAGGTCAGCACAGATGGATTCTGGGTAGCCCTGCCACACTTACAGCCCTTCTTCTCCACTGGCTTCTTATAGGGAGGCCTAACAGGCGCAGGGGGCACATGACAGCCAGACATCAACCTCTGCTCTTTGTTTCCGTCCTTGGTTTTGGAGCCTCCACCGCTGCGGGCCTTCGGATGGGGCTTTTTAGGGCCAGCTTCGACATGCTTCCTGGCAGCTTTATTGTTATTTGGCGCAGGGCGACTGGGTTTAGGGGGCGCACCATTGGAAAGGGACGAGTATGAGTGTGCTTGTACAGTTAGGGAGGGTGTAGGCGGTTGCAAGTACAGTGTCTGAGAGGGGACTGGAGTGTGTGAATGTGAGGAGGGGCCCTGTAGGATGGAGGCAATGGGAAGGGGTTTCACCTTTTCCCTGTCACTCTCTGAACGAGAGCGCTTACGTTTAAGGCGGACTGGCGGGGGCTTGGAGGTCAGAGGGGGAACAAAAGAGGATGCGTGTATGTGAGCGCCATGACTCGCCATTGTGTTAGTCCTGTCTGTTTGAATCTGTGTGTAATTGTGAGCGGCGTCCAGCTGTATGTACATTTGAGCGTGTGCTCTGTCCGTTGTGATGCGTGTGTGAGTGTGCATATGTTCTGGCTGTGTATGAGGAGAATCTCGACCGGGCTGGAGGGGATCCAAAGTCTGTAACACCTCCTCCACACTGAGGAGCAACACCTCCCCCTCCTCCAGCTCCCTGCTGCTAGATTCCCCGTCCCTGAGTGAGCACACAGTGCCTGGAGTAGGGGCTAAAGGTCCAGTGGTCAAATTCAGTTCCAGACCACCACAACCAGTATTGGACACAGATAGGCCTGCCTGTGGCTGCTCCTCTACCAGCTCGCATACTTCCAGCTCAGGAGAAGAGGGACCCAGGTCCTCCAGCACTTCTCCATTGCATTCTTGTGGTCCATTTGAATGGGGAGGGTCAGAGGAGGAGCTCTGGGGCACAGCTGAGAGCTCTGCAGGAGCAGGTGGTGCCTCTGTGGGGGTGAGGGACTCAGGGGCCGATGGATTCACATCTTCCTGGGCTAGGCTCGGGTCATCTGTCTCCATCTCCTCCTCATGTGACATAAGCACCTCCTCCAGCAAGGCCATAACCTCTGGAGAGCCTCCCAGATGGGTGCTGATCGATTGCAGCAACGGCGAGTGAGTTACATAGAGGCAGAGCTTCCTGTAGCATTGTACCAGCAAAGAGAGCTGATTGTTCTCATGGAAGCTGGAATAGTCTTTACAGCGGCTGCACGGCGTCCTTAACTGCATCTTCTGGCCTTTACAGCCCAAACAGACAAAATGCTGACACTCTGCATGTGTTGGGGAAATGGGATCCTGGAGCAATTGACCTAAAACAAAAACAGGACGAGATGTTAGTCCATGTGTTTATCCACTTTGCACGAATGTGAAGCAACTATGGCACATTTAAGAAGCTGGACTACAGTTATCAACATTCACCATCATTTAAAATGCTTTGTTATTGCCGCAGGGTGGTGAATTTATATATACCTCTATAGAAACGTTTTACCAATTGGAATGATTATCGGACAATTATTTTTCTAACACATTGGTATTTAAAACATTAGAATTGTCATTTCACATTTTTTCCAGAACTTACGGTTCTTGTTCAAATAGCTTGTTGACCAACAATCCAAATTAGATGTTAAATTATTTTTCAGTACTAGTGCATTTCAAGCCAATAAAGGAAACTAATAAATGTCATACACACGGCATCTATTGCACGTCTGTCCGTCCTGAGAGAGGGATCCCTCCTCTGTTGCTCTCCCTGAGGTTTCTCACATGCTCCCTTTAAACTGTGGGTTTTCTCTGGAAGTGTTTCCTTGTACGATGTGAGGGTCTAAGGACAGAGGGTCTAAGGACAGAGGGTCTAAGGACAGAGGGTGTCATACTGATATTCTGCACAAACGGTGCTGTTGTATTTACTGTATAGTGTCCTTACTGTAAGGTAATTATTATATGTACAGCACTTTGACTCGACCAAAAATCGTTTTGAAAATGTGCTATATAAATAAAATTTGATACCAAGATCCTAATGTGGGATTGTATGTTTCTAAACCTTACATGTTTGTGTTTCTTGCATGTTCTTCTCTGAATGTATCTGTCCCAGTGTATTGATATGAACAAAGTAGGCTCCAATCTACATAATCATCATGTTCACATCATGTATTGTTTTTCACTTAGATCACCAAACATGTAGTTTAGTTAAATACTGCATGAAAGCAGAAGTAATCATGACAGAAACACCATTACATAATCGGCTGAGGTCAGAACTAGTATATCATTCTGTCCCTATCGCTCATCTCTAAATGCAAGCTGTGCCAGTGTTGGTTTTCCTCTAGCTAAGCCGAGTAAATAAAGCATGAATAGGAAACACATGGTTCTGCAGAAGAGCAGACACAACAACAGAGGAGTCATCTATCATGACAACAGGACAGATGACTGCTGCTCAGGCTCGGTTGCTAAGGAAACCACGATTGTGAGCACCACAAATCGTGTCAACTGTTGCGAGCACACGCACGCCCATGTCACACAGTCAATATGAAAAGTAAGGTTATGAAACACTGATTTAATTCAGGATCAAAAACAAATGTTGCATCACGAACAATTGGATCATCTTGCAGTGAGGTGACACAAAACAACATCATTTAAAGTGATATGCATTGCTATTATACCCTGATATTTACAGGATGCTTACCACAGACAAGGCATGCTAGGGACTGTCGGAAGAAGGGGAGAAGCGTGTACATATCCGCGAAGGTGTGAGGCTGCCGCGGGTCACACTGCAGCACGGCCCGGCTGGCGGACACGTACAGAGCGGTAGCATTAACGGGGTTCATAGCGGTACTCCGCAGCCTCGGTGATGCACGGCCTGGGCAAAAAAAAATCCAGCCAGACGGAACTAAAGATAGGCAAGTCTCAGGGTGGATGGAGGAAATATAAACTGGTCTGGAGGAGCAACAATGAGCCACTCCAGTGTGTCAATGCAGGCACATGAATTAATAATAGACACAACAACAGACAACGAACATGCTGAAGCGGTTATCACTGAACGCGCAAGTTAGCTTGGCGGGCGGCTGGCTAAAGTTAGCATCACCGGTAATAGTAGTTACTATACACCAATGAGACCTTCCTAATCACTATTTCAGTTCCTGATTATTAGGACCAATAAGACCCTAGCTTATAATTACTCACATTATCTCCGAAGCTGCCTTACAGCTAACACTGAATCAAAAGATCAGACGATCCATGATCAAAATGTTAGCATTATGTAGCTCGAGTTAGCTTACGACTTCAGCCAAACGTTTTACAAGAGAGGTGGTAGATGATAGCCATAGAGCCCATTTAATATCCAACGCTGTCTTCCAGTTGATAGATAAATGAACGGAGAGCTGCTCCTAATATCTCACATTTGTTTGGTTAGCAATGAGCTAACATATCCCAGGCGCGCACTTGATGTAAACAAAGCTAACCAGCTTGCGTTAGCATGGCTAGCCAAAATAGCTAGCGAAAATGTAACCGTATCAATAACCCCCCCTAGGGCCGCCTTATGCCTCCGGCGTAGGAGGGAAATGCAAGGTATAAATTGGAATCTTACAATTCTGATACGTTTTACTATAATACTTGGCAAGCAGCGATCGAAACATAGCTAACTATCCGTTTTACAAATGCATCAATCATTCGATTTGCCACTTTTCCTCTCATCAGCCCCTCTCCACAGACATGATAATCACGCGAGATTTCTACTAGTTGCCCTGGTTACCGTAGTGTACGGAGCGGAGGTACACAGCCTCTCTGCTGCTTCATTCACCTTCTTCACTGTCTGTCATCAACAACTTCACATTTGGCATTAGCAATTCATTCATTAATTCAAGAAGAGGGCGAGAATTATAAAAAGTAAGAATTATAAAAAGAAAACATAAATAAAATAAGATGGACCTTTTGTGATCCTCGTAGGGAAATTCAGATGTTGTTTTAACAGAATAAACATCGATACACATGAAAATATACACAGGGATAATAAGAGTAAATAAAATAAATAATCATAATTATAAACATGTAGTAACAGTATGAAGAAATTATATAACACGAGTTCAACTTTGATCAGGTGAATGTACATACAGATACGTCCACGGTACAACACTTGCCAGTTTTAGAAGAAAGGCCGAAAATAATCCTACTTCATGGATACAAATAATGTATTTTTGTGCAAAAATGTACTCTCTCTGGGTAGTTACACAAGCAAGTGCCTTACATGTTAAACATATTGCTACTTTTTAATTAAATACAACCTTAACAAAGAATAATTATCCAGTTTTTATACACTGTCAAAAACTATAACTTATATGTGTAATTAATTAATTGTTTCAATAATAATATTCTATCCCACTCATGTATTTGAATTGGTTGGACACACTAGTAACCCCCTTAAACATAATACAGTCCAGCTCAACAATAAGCATGCAGTCAAATGGTTTTAACCGTATTTTAAAACAAAAAAACAAAAAAACTGAATGATGGACATGTAAGATAAGGGGATTTACCTTAGGTCATGCAGCCGGGTCCCAATAAGTATTATCATAATATTCCAATGCATACTTTACAAGGGAAGGTTATTCATATGGCACAATTAAAAAACAAGTCAAAGTGATTCACCACGAGAATATAAATAACAATCAGCCTATGTGAATTAAATTGGGATAAAACACAAAAAGAAGAGTTATAGTGCTTTGTAAGGGGATATAGGGACAATGTTGGTGTTTGCTTAATGCCAAGGATGGATAGCAGTGAGAGGGGCCCCGAAATGACCAAAACTCTACCGAACAAGCAAAATTCTGCAAAAATAAATATCATAAACTACTTTCAGATGACTGGCTACAGGCATGGTTACCGGCCACGATACATCACAGGAACAAACCGGATCCTCTCCAAGTCCCGCCCCTCAACCTTAGGAACACCTTTCTTCTATCTTATTGGCTGCGAAGGCTCGCCCCCTATTCCCTATTGGCCCAAAAGTCTGCCTTTCATAAATTGCCCGAACTGTCACCCGAGAGCGCAGACGCAAAGATGGCGGCTCTCAGTGTGGCTCGAAGAAGCTGCGGTCTGTTAAACGGGTTGAGGACATCTTTTAGGAGTTTGACTCCCGTGAAACATGGCGCAGTCGCTGCCGCAATGCCCCAAACGAGCCTGTACCGGGACTGCCGGTGGTATTCTGTCAGCCACCTGTCCGTTAAAGAGAGGATTGACAAGAAACGGTCGGCGGCGCTGCTCGGGGGAGGTCAACAGAGAATAGACGCACAACACAAAAAGGTAAAATAAGCTAACATAGATTTGATATCCTATACATGTTAGCCTGCCTTTAAGGAAACATGTGTGCTGCTTTTATGACTTAAAGCGCTGAAACTGGTTGTTGAAGTGGTTGAGTTGCCTGGCCCGAAGGCTCAAAGTCAATGGTTGCTTCTGGGCTAAACCAACTTTCTAACGTTGCTATGGTTAACAGTTACTCAGTGGTTCTTCAGTAACTTTCCAATTATCCTAGTTAACAACATCTTGAACTAAGTAGTTTACTTTCCCCCTTGCAAGTTCTGCAGCAGTTTAATGTGGACAAATCCTAAATATTCCCACAGTTGTTAATGCATTAGATGCCGGTGCCATAACATTCCAGTGTCCAATGTTATCAAGAACAATTAGATATAAAATACAGTATATTGAGACATATTTCCATATAATGTCTTCAAACACCTATTCCTACTAGAACCAACTTGTTCTATTTACATAACTAATCTATAGCACATCATTTATTTTGTGAATATTAGTTTTCCTTTTTTACTTCCTAATTTAGACAATATTGATATCTATTGAATCATTGGATTATATAGCTGCTTTGTTATTATTGATACGTTTGCATAAGTTAATATGTATTTAGTTATATAGATATATATCTAGTTCTATTTTTAAATGATTCTTATTTTCAATTTAAATGTTGAATTTAAAATTGAGTGATATAGGAGTTACAAGACAAGTGCATACAAGTAGTGTCACATATAGACAGAAGACAATAAGGAGCATTTACAAGTAAAGACAAATAACAAAATACATGGAGACAAAATGTGTGTTTGACGGATTAGACAAGAAGAGAGTAATAAATGACACAATTATAATTAAAATGATATGAGTAACAATATAATAGTCATGTATCCTGGGGGGGGGGGGGGCATGTAAATAGTAGCATGACCTTAAAGAAGTAGAAAGGGTTGGTGGCTGATTATGAATGACATGTATCAATGAATGGGTGGTGTCATGGTGTGTATTGTCGAAGCAGGCTACTGTAGTGCATTCTGGGTAAATGTGGTGTTTGGCGTTCTGTGTTGCAGGGTAAGCTAACAGCCAGGGAGCGAGTGGAGCTTCTGCTGGACCCCGAGTCCTTCGTGGAATCGGACATGTTCGTGGAGCATCGCTGCTCTGACTTCGGCATGGAGCAGGATAGGAACAAGGTACACAAATCATCAGCGTCGTGTTTTATCCACTGGAGATGAGACGATACCTCCTCTGTGGTTTAATATACCTATTTGTCTTTATCTCTGTCATAGTTCGCGGGTGACAGCGTGGTGACGGGCCATGGCAGGATCAACGGCAGGCTGGTTTATGTATTCAGTCAGGTACAATGTTTAACTGTACTGCAATTATCCTACAGTGTTGCAAACATATGTAAGCTTTGTTTCACCTGTTTTCATATTCTTTCTGTTTCTCTCAGGACTTCACGGTGTTTGGTGGCAGTCTGTCTGGAGCCCATGCACAGAAGATTTGTAAGGTAAACACAAATTCAGTGTGTGAACCAAACACTCAATAAATAGAAATCGGGGACAGTTTCATCCCACAGGCCATAAGAATGTTAAACACCTGAACTTTTGCAACTCACATATATATCAATATTCCAATTACTGTATATAGACTATTCTGCACAGTTTCTATTATATTATATTTGACTTATTTACTTGTACTGTTGTATTGTGTTGCACTGTTGGAGGCCTCTTCAACATGTCTATACCCTCAGCAAACATTCACTTCATCAAAGGAATTGCTTTATGTCTGTGGGTTTATCTGGGTTTTCTCTGTTTGCTCTCAGACCTTTTTATAAATCTTTTTTTGTTTTGCTGAACAACGTTTAAATGTTCTGTGCTCAGATAATGGACCAGGCCATGATGGTTGGAGCGCCGGTCATCGGGTTGAACGACTCTGGAGGAGCTCGGATCCAGGAAGGAGTGGAGTCTCTGGCTGGATATGCAGATATTTTCCTGGTATGGTCATTTTGTTAAAGAGCCTTTGCATCAGACTGCTCATTGGCTTAAATCGTGATATCACAAATCATACTTATAATACGATAATATTTTATTGATCAGATCAAGTCTGACATTTAACTTGCATCACAGCAGCTCCATGTGTAACATCAACATAGACGGATATCAAGACACAGTACATGAATGACAAACATTTAACATAACAGTGACTGGAGCACAAAGGATGCTTCAGTCTGACTTGATTGATCTCCCATTAGATGGTAGCGGTTCATATTCTCTGTTCAGAACATGCTTTGGGTCCCAGAGGATGTTGTTGGACAGCCTCACGAGGTTATTATGGTATGCTGAGTCATGAAGTCTCTGACAGGGTGGACCAACAATCTTTGAGCACATTTTTAACAAGTGGAGCAGTTTTGATTTTAAAGCGGTTGACAAACACTTGTACCAGGTAGTACTGTGGTACTGCTTCAAGATCTCTGTATAATGCTGAATGTAATACTTGGTTGAATTTACAAATCAGTATTACATCTGTTAGCTATGTTTCTTTTTATTTAGTCTTAGTCCGGGGTCAAATGTCCTTGTTCCTGTTTTAGTAGTTTTCTTAAATCCACACAGCTGGAGGTGAAGGGTTTTTGGGCACTACGAATGAAAAATTGAAACAACATTTTTAACTTTTCCAGAGGAATGTGATGGCTTCAGGAGTCGTGCCTCAGATCTCTCTCATCATGGGGCCCTGTGCCGGAGGAGCCGTCTACTCCCCCGCCCTCACAGACTTCACCTTCATGGTTAAGGTAGGCAGCTAAAACACATATCCATTTATATACAAAAATATAACAATCCATCATTAAACTATTAACTATTAAAGTGTCAGCATTCTTCAAAACATTTTAATTGTTTTATTTAAATCTTTATTGTCACATTATACATGGCAATAACATGCTGGTTACAACAACATTACAATCATGTATCAAGAGGCCAGCAAGGCAATACAAAATAAAAGGCTAGGGATATGTCTTCATGTTATTCTAGTCTTGAAGATACATGTAGCTATTAGCTATTGTTCCGGTCAAATGTCTTTGTTTTGAGTCTTGAAGAGTCAATTGTTCCCACTTTCTGTTGAGTTTCTTGCAATCTCAATTCACAAGTCAGTTTTTCCATCAAAAAGATGTTTTCCACAATTGTTACCCGTTGGTTGTTCGTTGGTGCTGCTTCCTTACCCCAATGCCTAGTGATAGCTTTCTTGCTGGATATAAGCAGGATTTTGATCAAATATCTGTCACTTGCAATCATTTCCTCAGTGAATTTACATACATAGAGTAGCATTCTTCTAATTTGAGTTAATTGTGGACACAAAAGTCACAGTTTAAGGCGATAAGATAAGATGGTACTTTATTGATCCCAATTTGGGAAATGTTTTGTGTTGCAGCAGCATAAAAAAGGCATTTTACAATAAAACAAAACTAGAAATAAACAAGAAAGAAAAGAAAATAGATAATTCAATAATGTTGAATTTGACAAGATATTATATATACAAATATGATATTAATATTAAATACAATAAATGATGCAGTATAAAAGATTTTCTCCTCACTCTCCCCATTGTGTGTGTGTATATAGGACACATCATACCTGTTCATCACTGGACCTGATGTCGTGAAATCTGTCACCAATGAAGACGTGACCCAAGAGGAGCTCGGCGGAGCCAAAACTCACACCACCGTCTCCGGTTAGCTTCTGATGTCTCTGTGTCACACATCATTAAGTCAACTTTATTGTCAATCTTTCAGTTTGTGTGTACAGACTAGAGCTGCACGATTTTGAAAAAAAAAATCTAATTGCGATTTTTCTGACAGATATTGCGATTCGATTTGGGATATTTGTTTTTAAGCGACCCGACGGAAGGTTATTGTAAAATGCGGCCATATCTCCGGCTAGGAAGGTCGCGTCAATGTGCTCCCGTTTCTAGCACCCCCGCAGCCCGAGCTACGAGTGAAAGAACTAAACTTACATGAAACTTCCGTTGGGTTGCTTTAAAGTCAAGCTTCAGTTTAAGATTCACCCTTTAATAGAAACATGTGATGGAGCATTACTAGCCTGACCCAGATGCTTTGTTTCACCAAAGCATCTAGGAAAGCTCCATTTGGAAAAGTATTTCAAAAATACTTGGCAGGTGATTGGATCAATCTGTCTATCACCTTCTATCATGGGCCACTTCTGATTGGTTAACAATGGCTGGGTCATGTGGAGCACAGCACTGATTGGTGTGACTGACGCACAAGAGAGACTTTTTATTTTGTTTTTTAAAGAAAATCGCAGGCTTTGCGATTTGATAATCGCATCATTTAAAATCGCGATTTCGATTTAAAATCGATTAATCGTTCAGCCCTAGTACAGACGGAGAGATCGAAATACCGTTTCCCACAATCCCGAATATAAAAACAAATGTATATAAAAATATGTGTGCAAATGTGTTTGGGCTGGTTCCCCACACACACACAGTCAAAGACACATTTTTACATCTGCACACATTAAGACCTAAATAACAACACAACAATCAATCTATACAAAATAACAGTCACTTCAATATTATGAGAATGTACATTAGTGCAAGATTGTCCATAGCACCGTAAAAAGTGATTATTTCAACCTAGTTCGAAATAATGTGTTCAAAGTCTGAACAAAAATGTCATGATGTTTTTAGGAGTGGCTCACCGGGCTTTTGAGGATGACGTTGAAGCGTTGCTCAACATGCGAGAGTTCTTCAACTTCCTGCCGCTCAGCAATCAGGACCCCGCCCCCATCAGGGAGTGCCACGACAGCAGGTAGCCAATCAGCTGACCTTCACTTACAAGAAGAAAAAAGGAAATGATCATTAATAGGAAATATATGTATTTTTTGTCCATTTCAGCAATCGTCTTGTACATTCGTTGGACACCATCGTCCCGTTTGAGACGACTAAAGCCTACGACATGTTGGACATCATTCATGCAGTACGTGCACACTCTGAAATATGAAACCACATCTCACTCAAATTCCTCCGGTAGTAAAAGCTTCCTTTCTTCTTGCATCTCTTCAGATCGTGGATGAGAGCGACTTCTTTGAGATCATGCCCAACTACGCCAAAAACATCGTGGTGGGATTCGCCCGCATGAACGGACGCACTGTAGGCATTGTGGGGAACCAGCCCAAAGTAGCTTCTGGTAAGTAAAATAATTGAAGGACCAACAATTAGAGGGTTAATAGGATGAGGGGGGGGGAATATTCTTGCTATTCAGTCCTAATGTCCGTCTCCTTCATCAGGCTGTCTGGACATCAACTCCTCAGTGAAGGGAGCGCGCTTTGTACGCTTCTGTGACGCTTTCAATATTCCCATCATCACCTTTGTGGATGTGCCGGGCTTCCTGCCAGGTACTCTTTGAAAATGTACAATGCATGGAGTAATCCAGTAATTGGCCATACATACAGTTTACATCTTAATCTGGTTAGGAATGTATCAAGGATTTTGTTGTGAGTCTCTGCTGCTGTGAATTATACAAGAGAACGCTTTCGTCTGCAAGGTGAGTCTTAGTCTGCACAAAAGCAGAAAGAGATTTAGCTGCCAGCTCAGTAGAGAGTAATCTCAAGATCATTGATAAAGTAAAGGGAAACGCACACTACAGTTTGGATAAGGGATAAAGTCAGGGATCTATCCAGGCTATAATGTCAACTATACACACAAGACAAAAACGGGGTTACCTCACATGTGCACAGACATTGTTATTGCATTGAAATAGAGCTACTGTCACACCTTATGCTTATTATGTAATAACTGCTGTGCCGGGGGTCCACAGGAACCGCTCAGGAGTACGGAGGCATCATCCGACACGGAGCCAAGCTGCTGTACGCCTTCGCAGAGGCCACCGTCCCCAAAATCACCATCATCACCAGAAAGGTGCGTGAACAACATGAGAAATGCTCAAAGTTAAAGGTTTGCTAAAGAAGCATTTGTAGCTCTTTGCCTGAGCAGTGCTGATGAATAAAACTAATCCGCTGACCAAAATGTAGAATAAGAGCGACTATTAAACTTAGTTGAAACCTGATTTTTGAATGCTGAGTGAGCCCTACTGACTTTATTGTAACACTTCCTGCCGGTGCTCAACACTAAAGTATATGTTAGGGAAATAATGATCATAGACGCCAAGATGTGACATACAGGACAAACCTTGACGTCTGTTTACCTCCTTTAAGGACACAGGCTGCTTCAGACAATAATGTTATTGTTCCCATTCTGTGACCGGTCAATACTGGGTCACAGATGGTCTGTATTGTGGGTACACTGGGACACTTCCTTCTCTGTTGTCTGAGGACTCCAGGGCATGACATATGCAAGGCCATAAGTGGCGGAAGCTGGTAACTTAGTGTGCCCAAACTATCTAAAGCTATCTTATCAAAACATGTTGATGACTCTCTGTGGAACCAGTTAAATGGGCTGGCAAGAGAGAGGCTCTCCAGAATTGACGTGGCAACTCTACCGTGAAGTCAGAACCTCTGGCTCTTGGACTTGTGATGTGAATCCTCCGGCCGTAACTCCAAATAAACCATCAGTGTTTGACATCAAAGCTACTGCTCCTACCGTGTCTCCTTCCTGAGTCGGTGACTCCCACTGCGTTGCTACACAGAAGTTTCCTCTACAGTATACATTTTACAAGTATTGTAATAACTTTAAGGCATGAATGTTTCAGAATACAACGGCATTGTATACAATACAATGTTTGCAGCTATTGCAAAATCACACCTGGCAAATTAGGAACATATTCTGGTTGTTTTCGTGTGTGTGTGTGCGTGCGCCACACGGATAGAGGCGTGTGGCTCAGTGGAGAGCCTTGGTCTGGGAATCAGATGGTCACAGGTTCAAACCCCACTGCAGTCAGCATGTCGTTGTGTCCCTGAGACACTTCACCCCAAATGGCTCCTGTGGGGATTGCCCACAGTATTGAGTATGTACGTGTGTGTGTGGCTCTCAGGCTTACGGAGGAGCGTATGACGTGATGAGCTCCAAACACTTGAGAGGAGACATGAACTACGCCTGGCCCACAGCTGAGGTGGCGGTCATGGGCGCCAAGGTACGAACAGTCACTGTTTCCGTTCTTTCTATTGGTCCTTTGTTCGATTTGACCGTGTGCATGATGGTCTCTTTCTTTCTTTCTCAGGGTGCTGTTCAGATTATCTTCAGAGGAAAGGAGAACCAGGCGGAGGCAGAGGCTGAATACGTGGAGAAGTTCGCCAACCCTTTCCCAGCTGCTGTCAGAGGTAACTTTTACGGCTTTATAGCGATGCAAAATCTCTCGCCATCATCCCTGATTGTGCTTACACTCCACACACAAATATAAAGCATACACACCTGGTACTGACCTTGAGCTGAAATGGTTTGTTTCAGGTTTTGTGGATGACATAATTGAACCGGCAACAACTCGCAAGAAGATCTGCAGAGATCTGGAGGTGCTGGCCAGCAAGAAGCAGATGAACCCCTGGAAGAAACACGCCAACATTCCTCTGTGATCCAACACAAACTGTTTCCACATTAACTCCCTCTGAAGGCTCGCTGTGGGAGTTTACTGATACTGACTTCACATCCGAATGAACTGCACTAGTTCCCGTGGTTAGGACTTGGGTAGCCTGTAAGCACATGTGTGTTTCATTCACCACTCTACTGAAGCAGCACTTAAAGATACCTGATTCTGTTAGTGCGTGGTTGCATCCCAATAAAATCAGATTATGTTTTGAACTAGGGCAGTATGTCGATATCAGGACATCAGACTAAATATCATTCTAGATTTTGTAATATGGCATTAGTAGTGTCGGTTTCAAGTTTTTGGGGAAAATATTGGCTCTGTCAACAAAATCAGCAGGTGTATCTTTACAACTCTACCCTTGATATGGAAACCCTAACTCATTTCCAGTAGCTGACCAGGATACAAGTGGTTATACACAGTCGAGATACTTGTATGTCAGTAGTGACCACATTGGACACTACTGTTTGTTTGATTTGACCTAAAAGGAGTAGATTATGTGTCACTGATAGAAGCTGAACGGACACGAGCAACTAAACTGTCACATGGTCGTAGAGTGGAAATGCAAACATGCTGCAGTCTGTTCATGACAATAGTGTTGCTTATGTTCTGTATTTAGTTGTTGAAGTTTGTGGTGTGAACCGTAGTGTGTTAGACACTCCCTGTGTTTAGGTCATCCTCCCAACATGGAACTGTGCCTTTCTTCTCTGGCAGCCTTTGCCATTTGTAAAATAAATCATGGACTCAATATCGTGTTTCTGTTTTTGTTCACTTCAACCAATGCAAGGATTTGTATCTGCAGAAATTACAAGAGTGTGTATAATATTGTTTTTTGAGAGTGTAAGAGAAATTCACAAAGGGCAGAAATGTTAAAACAACGAATTAGAAGTAAGAGTTTGGGAAATACACTTAACGGTGGGTTTGATTGATTGATTGAAAAGTTTATTAACAGCTTGTATATTGGGTACAGTACAGTACAGCTCAAAACATACAATTGTTAAGGGGATGCAGACCAGAGAAAGACTTTCGTCTTGTTTACATCAGGGTCCCCCATTTCCAATTCATCATATTAGGTCATTCACTTCAGAAACACTTTGTTATATTCCATGAATGCTCTTAACATCCCGATAGCAATGAATATATGAAATGCTTTGACAATAAATATATACAAAAATGTCATCTGTGGAAGCCGTGGTGCTGTAAAAAGCACGACCAATCATCTGACCCGGACCGGCTAAAGTAACTGGATGGCCTACCTGCCTGTCAGCCTTCCATCTGTGCACAAGCTTATCTCGTGCCCTCATTGGTCATGTGCGCGTTCGTGTGTGTTGGAGGAGGGGCTCTGTGAGGAAGTCTGAAGGAAGGTTATGGCTAGAAAGGATCCGTCTTGTGTGAATATGACGTCACGTGCTCGTTGTAATCGGAGCGGCTCGGAAACACATCTACAGCAGTAACATGAATGCAGAAGCAATATTAAGAGAAACAGACATAATAGTAAAACACTGAAAGGGAACATTTTATTGCACCAGGAGCTATCTTGGGACTTTTACTGCGACAACGTTGACTTGCCTGTGAATAAAAAATAAACCATAGTGTTGGTGATCTACAGTGTTGTCATTCTTTGAACAGCAATACCGCTAACACCCTATTTCAACAATCACACTCCTTGTCATTGACATAATTAATAGATAGTTTAGCTTCTCACCATCATTTGCTGTGGCCCACTGATGTTAACGATCGTAACTGAAAGGCTGCCTGCCAAACGTAAACATTCAGCCACGTGACTTGCAAACTCTCGCGAGAGTTTTACACAAGACGGAGCCTTTCTAGCCATAACCCTGAAGGAAGGGGCAGATTTTTTCCGTTTGCGTACTTTCAAATTCTAGCGCACTCGAGCTGGTTTCTCCATTCTTACCCCACCTTTAAGATTTTTTGCAGAGAGATATCTAGCTTGATGAATCGTGCTTGAGTCTGTTAATAGATGTTCTACAGTGAGCGAGAAACAAATCAGGTTAAACAAATCCTTTAATGCTTTCACTGCAGTTCCTTGGAGCTAAAGGAAAAGTGAGGTTTGACAACTTAACATGTTGTATTATACAGTTTATTTGTACAATATTTTTGCCTCGAGGTTCACTTACTTTCCCTGGAGCTTTGGACTGTATCAGTCTTCATCAGGAGATCGATTCTGCCAACTTTAGTTCAGACATCATGGATGAGAGGAGCACAGAAAACCACGGAGAGACTTGAGTTCAGATTGTTTTGTGAAATGTAAGTTACTGTATCCAGGGTGAAAATGAGGTGCTACACAGTAATGGGTCAACGTTGGCAAAGTGTTGAACTCTGGGCTGTGAAACAAAAGGCACACTCAAACACTTGTCCATAAATCGAATACAGATTTTATTTTATTAAAAAGAATTTAGGTTCACAGAAAAAAAAACAGGCGTTTAGAGCATTTAAGTGCAACTGATGTCAACTGCACTGCAGGAAAGATCCAATTGTCTCTGATATTTACAGGAGGACTGCCAAGCCAGCCAGGGGGAGAGGTGGATGATTGATTAACCGACGGAGCGTGAACAACGATATGGCTGGAAACATTCAAAACACATTCAAACAAATCTGTCAGAATAACAACAAATGATCTTGGATCAGATAACACTGAGGCAGGCGTAGAAATGTAACCTGTAAAATGAACAAAATGAACAGATAGTCTGCTGTAATACTGAACTGTGAAACGACTACAATCAGACCATACAGCGCTTAAAGAGAAACCATAGCAACACTCTGAGCTTGGTAACCGTTAGATATGAGACACAGGTGTAGGGGAAGGGGCTGGAATATACCGTAAGTATGTAGGCCACAATTTGGCAACAAACAAGATACATATTCGAGAAAAAGCTGTACAAACATCCGACAAAAACAAAGACACACTTGATTTAAAACTTTAGTACTAAAGCTACAGAATTAAAAATATGTTTATTTTCTTTTTTTTTTAAACTTCAAAAACTTATCCGAGATCTGAGAGGGGGGGGTGGGTGGCTTCTCCTTCAAACGACAACACTCTCTTTTGCTTTGACGTCACGCAACTACTCAACCATCACCACCGCACACACAGACACACACACAGACACACACAGACACACACACACAGACACACGAGGACTCTGATGGCGAACAGAGAGCGGAGAGGGGTCGTTGGGTGGTAATAAGAGCAAAGATATAGAACACTTAGTATTGATATCCTCTCTATGTCAGATTCTACCAGACGGATTCGAAGTGCGACACCAAAATAAGGGGTGGGGGGAGGGCTGCTCTGAACCAAACAACTGTACATCTGTGTAACAGGGAACCGTAAAAACTGCAAGTGCTCGTCGGCCATCCGAGCTACCGCTAACAAGAGCTAAACCAACAGGCTGGAAAAGGAGGAAGAGGAGGAAGATTTAGAGAGAAGACGAAAGCTCTTGAATAATCCGGACTCGGTTCTGGATCCTCCGGCCTGTGAGAACAGAGCCGATCCTCGCTTCACTTTCCAGATGAGATCCGGCTGACTCCACGTCCATCAGCAGATCCACCTGACAAACAATGCTTCCATCCCGTCTTACAGAAAGAGAAAAGTGTTTCAACAATGTTGTTTCCTATTCTTAAGAGTTTGATTGGCAGGTTTTCTGGGTGAGACGGCCCAGACCCCTCCCTTCTGTTGACTCCTGATGTGGATCCTGAGCTCAGGATCTTTGCCTCTTCCTGGATCAGAACATGGGCATGCTGAAACCCTAAAAACATGGAGAGAGAGAGAGAGACTGTCAGACGATCTTAAATGGAAAAGATCTCAGACTTTCACGGCTGCTTTTCTTTTCTACCACTAGGGGGCGCTAGAGTTGAAAAGTTCACATTCTACATATTGTGTCTTTAAAACAGAATCAAATCACTGATGGTATGAAACTTATTTTAGATGACTGATTAGCACATTGGGCTGAAACTAACAATTGTTTAAACTAGTGCTGTCAAAATTATCGCGTTAACGGCGGTAATTCATTTTTTGAATTAATTGCGTTAAAATATTTAACGCATTTAACGCATGTGCAGAATGGCCCGCCCCATACGTGCCACCAGTGGCAGCGCCAGGGTATGGCTGGGGTAGGCTACACCCATACCAAGAAATGGCTTAGCCCCACCATGAAAAATGATGTTAAAGGAAGCAAAATAAAGTCTGCCAACTCGCGCGGAGTAAATTGCACAGACAGCAGTTAGTAAGATTGATTTCAGTAGCCACGGTTTTGAAAACTTTTTGTCACGTAGTGATCGTCTTCTCAATAGAACATCTTTGATAACGGCGTGGTGTTGTTGCAGGAAGTCCCGACGGAGAATACTTTTGCTGTAGTACAGGGGTGCACATAACTGGTACGCAGGTTATGTGCGTAATCTCTCTGAAATGCGTACCGTCACTTGTGTCACAAAGCGCATTTGCGTACCGACGTACTTGTGAAGCTTTTCCAGAAGGCGGTTAGATCACCGGACGACAGAGTCGGTCTCCGTGTGCACAGACAGGGCTGCTGTTAACGTCGGTCTGTACAACGGAATTGTGCCAAAACTACGCCAACCGGCTGCGGAGGGAGACTCCCCCCTTCACTGGAGAACTGCGCTAAAACACGTTCACACTCTGTGGTCACGAAGTACTCCACTAGCCGCCGCCCCCCGTCGACTTTCCTGAAGTACTCCCCCGTTGATAGAAATCAACACGTAATGAATTAAGACCCCACGGTTTGATGATTGATAGGTGTGTGGGTTGTCTTTCATTTTGACACGCAGAAAAATGTTATAATAAACATAGATACTGTATGTTAAATGGATATATCCGCCTTCTTTCATTTATCTTTCCATTCCCACAACAATATACATAAATAAATGGCATATTTTGGACATAGTTCGAATGGTGATTAATCATGATTAATTCATTTTTAAGCTGTGATTAATCTGATTAAAAATTGTAATCGTTTGACAGCCCTAGTTTAAACTAATCTTTTCTAAGTCAAACATGTCCATTACAATGTTCCAGTGCCTTAAATTACATTTTTAAATATTCAGACTTTCATTGACGGTAAAAATACAAACAAACCAAAAGCTCACATGTTATGCCTGGGAGTAATTCATCTTTACATTTTAGCTTGTAAAAAATTATTTTGTATAAGTCGGCTAATCAATTAACGGCCTAATTGTTTGAGCTGTTCTTACTTTCCTGAGTCAAATTGTGAAAGTTTTACTCACCGACTCGTCCTCAATCATCGCTGCAGAGTCAAAGAAGTCTGGTCTTAATTCTGCTCTTTCACGTCTGTTCCTCGATGGCGGCTGGGTAGGAAGAAAGACAAAATAAGACATTGAATTAAAAAGACGATAATGACTAAACACAATGCTCCTATCTTTATTTGCCCTAAATTAAAGGCCCTGGGAGAAAGAGGCATCACTGACCAGGTCGATCACCATCGTGTCCTCAAACTCCTCGTTCATGTCCTCCAGCTGTCCTCGCGATGACATCATCACGTCCTCGAAGATCGGCTCTGCGTCATCCTCCATCAACCCACGCCTGACGGGAAGTCATTAAGAGAGAAAACACAAAACACACCGTTTACAATCTTTTTATCTCAAGCTCTTTATTCTTTAAAGGTCACCTATTATGCAAAACCCTCTTCTTCATGTCTCTTCTACATCAACATGTGTCCCCTCTTCTTCATGTCTCTTCTACATCAACATGTGTCC